TAAAATACACGATAAGGAACGATACTGTCAATATGGTAAAATACACGATAAGGAACAGTACAGTCAGTATGGTAAAATACACGATAAGGAACGATACTGTCAATATGGTAAAATACACGATAAGGAACAGTACAGTCAGTATGGTAAAATACACGACAAGGAACAATACAGTCAGTATGGTAAAATACACGACAAGGAACAATACAGTCAGTATGGTAAAATACACGACAATGAACAATACAGTCAGTATGGTAAAATACACGACAAGGAACAGTACAGTCAGTATGGTAAAATACACGAAATGGAACGATACTGTCAATATGGTAAAATACAGAATAGGGAACGATACTGCCAATATGATAAAATGTAAAGATATAAAACTTAAAGCAGAATATAAGAACGTGGTACAGAATGGTACTGTCAATAAGAACGTGGTACAGAATGGTACTGTCAATAAGAACGTGGTACAAAATGGTACTGTCAATAAGAACGTGGTACAAAATGGTACTGTCAATAAGAACGTGGTACAGGAACGGTACTGTCAATAAGAACGTGGTATAGAATGGTACTGTCAATAAGAACGTGGTATAGAATGGTACTGTCAATAAGAACGTGGTACAGAACGGTACTGTCAATAAGAACGTGGTACAAAACGGTACTGTCAATAAGAACGTGGTACAAAACGGTACTGTCAATAAGAACGTGGTACAGAACGGTACTGTCAATAAGAACGTGGTACAGAACGGTACTGTCAATAAGAACGTGGTACGACTCATTAAATCTAAGAATACAATGTACTTTTGTGTTTTATACTTCTGCTAGTAAAAAACATTTTGGTGACCATCTGATTTTTTTGTTTATCTCGCGGACCACGTAATTGCTTTCCATAATTACGAAACCTTTCCACAGACCACCTGAAGGGAGACCTCGGACCACCAATGGTCCGCGACCACATTGTAAGAAACGCTAATCCAAATTGGTTATTCGCAAAAATCGTCATCCTAAGCAACACGTTTCTATGACATGTCATACATGCTAGTGTTAAGTTAATTACCCTACCGAGTAACGTACTTACTTGTTTGTGTTCAAGCAGACGAAAACTTCACTTGATATATACGCGTGGTTCTTGGTGGCCCTTCTAGGCCTACGGAAATATATCCCAAGTGAACTTACTCCGCCCGTATAACAGTATATTGTAACCATGGAAGCGGTTGCCGAAAAATGCGCTCGTAACCGAATTTTATGAACGCGCCATTTCTACGAAAGCAGAAAAGTTATTGCTTTCAAATAGACCACCCATACCGTATGCCTAGAAACTCGAAATCTACGTAGGTGAACTTTGTGGTGGATCCTGACAGGTGCCCTCTGTTCATTGGTTCTTTTAGTGCTCCACGTGATTGGTCAGAAAAAATAATAAAAGTCTTCGATAAAGGGAATTCAGTTGATATGTTAATAAAAGTTTAGAAATACTCTAGTTTTTAAACTTGGGATGTCGCTTAGCATTTGGTCGAATACCCCGTTCTGTACGTTAACACCAAGATCTTGACGATGGAATAAAAACAGAAAATATACCTTATCTTGGACTGGTATTTCCTTGTCAAGTAATTATGGGAGTGATTACGATCAGTGCAAGTATTCTGAATGCGAAAATTGACTAAACATATATATATAGTACGTCACAAACCTTCATGAAATACATCCTGTCTTGAGAGTGACGCACGTTCCTGGTGCTCCTGATAACTGACGTTGTGTGCTTTAGTCAAAGAGTGTTATAATAAAGAATACCATGAAATACCGTATAGTACCAGTAAGGTCTTCTCGTTTAAATACCTTTGCATTTCATTTAATGATAGATTTTGACTTGATTATTTAACAAACAATATTCAGAAAAAAAAAAATGTGTTTCGGAAACAGTTACGCGCGAGTCGGATAAGATAGTATACATGCGTAAATCAATTTGATATTAAACGACACGGTTTAAAAGCCGAAAACTGGCGAAACATTAGAAACCAATAGGCTTAAAATTTGAGATTCAAATAACCGTAAACTGTAGACGCATTTCTCCCACATTTCTCCGAAATGGACAGATTAAGATGGATGTGGAAAAAAAAACGTAGAGTTTACACGATTTTTATCTCAAACTTTATATCAATTTAACAAACACAGGGCCCGGCATGGCCAGGTGGATAAGGCGCTCGAGGGTC